GTGCCTGTACTACATCTCCCATCCACCCTTGCAGACAACATGTCACATATGTGACATCTGTTTCCATCCTGATCACACGTGATGGAGCATCAGTCTCTGGAGCCCGGCCTAAGACGCAGGGGTGTGGAAATCCTATCGCCCGACGCCCGGGACATGCATTGCCGGGCGGGGGTTTTATTTTGTACATTTAGCCCGGGGTTGAGTACATTGTATGCAGTTAGGGGGTCACCATATGCCCCATTTTCTGCAATCGGACTGGAATTAATACGCTGGGGGATAACCTACAATGGAATCAACCTGTTAACTGCGGTCAAAACTGACCACAGACATCATCCCATTCCTCCATAGACATAGTCGGTATTAAAGGCACAGGCCACCTTTTAAAAAAATGACCATGTGCTCCCCCCATTGATGAAATGTGCATTTGTTCAATTTTGGTATTCAGGCCTGCAGAGCATTGCAACCGCAATTAGTGCGTCACGGGTGCAGTGCTCAGGCTCTTGCAAACCCTTCTGTATGGAGGCACAGACATGGCTAGAGGACATGCCCCTGAACTACATTGGTGAGGGATCACAGGTACACTTTCTACTGGTGCGGTGGAAGATGGACTTGTAGGAGTTTGTAAACCAGGGCTGGCCAGATCCCAGGAGCCGGGTCGCCAATGCTCCTTTAGCAATTACAATTGGCGCCTAACTTTTGTGGTTTTCTCCAGTTGTCAATGGAGCATGCTCCCGGATTGGGGCAGGCTGTCTCCCGGATTGGGGCAGGCTGTCTCCCGGATTGGGGCAGGCTGTCTCCCGGATTGGGGCAGGCTGTCTCCCGGATTGGGGCAGGCTGTCTCCCGGATTGGGGCAGGCTGTCTCCCGGATTCCATATTGATTTGTCCGCCCCTGTTGTAAACAATCTCTGGCCTAGATGACACGTGTGGGCAGAGCTACGCACAGCCGCATTAACTTTAGAAGAAAACCGGATCCTTGCCCATTAGAAGCACCTTAATGATTTAGGTAGGGAGGGGGTTGAGTTTTGGGGATGGGAAATGTGACCATGTTTCACCTTTTACCCTAAATATAACATGAAACGTGGTCCAAAGGGAAGACTGCGCCTTTTAAGGTTTTGCCGTTTACAGCCACCGGGGTTTTTACCGAGCTCGGGGTGCAGTAAGTAGGAATGGGGTGGAAATGAACCCGATGGGCCCTTGTGATCATATTTTTAATTCTCTTTGTCTGAATTTAGGGATATTATAGGCGCACCCCGGCGTACATGCCGATCCGACGGAGAGAACGCCGCGGCTGCTTCGCTGTCCCCATGGTTCACTCCACCTTCCTTATTGACCTGCGGAGGGAGGCCAGCCGACACCTGGACTTCTACCCACCCCACCAGGACTACACATGGGCGTATGATGACATCATAGTGTTTGCCTACTCCTGCCGGCAAGCTGGTGAGTCACATGACCGGGGAAGTGGTGACCAATGAACCTGTGAAATATGAAGAATGGTGGAAGGGGGAAGGGTTGGCAGCTTGAGGGCAACTCCACCATAATCTATTCTTCTAGTTTGAAATGGTCTAGAATGCGGGCCTTTTAAGCCAGTTGGAGGCCAATTTTATTTAGTTTTGCTCCGATTGGGAAGATTCCTTTCACTTCCTGTCCCAGAGACTCAACAGGAAGTGGGAGAAAACCTCTCCAAAGAGGGTGAATTCACTCTTAGACAATTCCACATTGGAACCAAAACAAGGTGCACTTTTCCTTCCCCTGACCTAATAATGTTGACATCCCACTCCACATGTTCTTGTTCTCTCTGTTGGCCACGCCTGTGCATTAGATTTCCCATAGAGGATTTTTGCTTTCTATTGCGTAGGCGCGGTCAAGAGAGAGGTCTTGCGGTGTAGGAAGTATCCCAATCCCCAGGGGCTTTGAGGAGGGTGGGGATCTGTGAGGTCAGGGGTGGGGGTAAAAAAGATTAGTGTACTGATCCATTAACATAACTGCAGCATTGGCACCCTGGGGTAGACGTATTGCAGGGCAGTAGGTCTTGTTTGATATCAGTCCCTCCGGGGATCTCGCTTGGACCAGTTTCTGATGACTTGCTGCCTATAAGATGCTTTCTGTGTCTCCTCCAGATGTTCAGATGTTCATCTGCAATAAAGAGGTTTATGGGAACCTCCCAGTCCCTCTGCGATCGCACAGCACTCTGATCGATGAAGCCGACAACTTCCTGCACACCAAACTGGAGGTCATGGGTGAGTTCCCAGCCGGGTACTATGAGGAAGGTCTGAGCAGGAACACATTCAGGTCTTCCGTTGACCGGATATGATAGAACTGGTGGTCGTGGTGTTGAATACTGTAAATAGAAGTCTTCTAATGAACGTTAGAATGTGAAGGGGCGCTATAGTATTCCTGTGTACAAGCTTCTCAAGTAATTCAAGCACTCAATGGTGCTGCTACCAACACCTGTCCTCCATTGCCCTCCTGGGCACTTTAATATGCCTGTACCTAATTCCCCTTCTGCCTCCAACGCCACATTGGCCTTCCATCCCTTTTGATAGACCAGGCATGAGGGAAGGGACAGGGACAAGTTCCATCTTCCTAGAACTGTCTGCATAGTAGGGAGCCCCTTGTTTGGAGGCTGCTAGGGTGCTTTGGCAGACATCAATGGACACACATGGGCGGTGCCGGGTGCCTGTATTACCATTCTGATGGCACTTTGCTGGGTTAACCATTAGGTACAATAGGCCTGTAGGCTCTTCCATGCTTCTGTTCTGGATTCCATTTAATTTGCAGTGCGAAGCATGGAGGGTCTACCTAAAGTAACCATGTTATCGGCCCCCCTCCTGTGCCCGGGATGAAAGGCTCACAGCAGAACACCGAAGTGGTTTCACTTTAAAAAAAACAAGCCACGGATCATTCCAGAAACTGCCATTAATACTGGCAGCTGTCGGATCGAGTCTCAGAACTATCAGGACAAACCCGGGGGGTCAGCCGGAAGATCTTCTGGCAACTGGAGAAGCCGGTCCTATTACAGACATCTGAGGAGTCCACTTTGTTAGCATTGTGAGGATGCAACTAAGAGGGGGGAAGGACGGGCCTGGCTGCTATGAGAAGCTTTTCCTTCCCACGGCTTTTATAAATCATCCCGAGTGTATTCTTAAAGGACACATCTGGTTTTAAAGGAAACATTCAATTTTTTTTATTTACATTTCTTGATTATTACTTATCCCATTCTCTGCCTTTTGCTTTTGCGGAGCTGCACAATAGTTGTGCTGCACTGCCCCTTCTCTCATTGTATTTGATAGCCCGAAAGCAATGCACTCTTATGTGCGGCTGATATGTCAACGGTTGAACTCCAGGCAGATATAATGGCAAAACTTATTGTATTTATGTATTCCCTTACACATAATCAAATGTATTTTTTAGGGCTGTTACTGATTTAAAAATGTCGTGTTCGATTAATCGAAAAAAAGTTTAATCGATTTATTTTCGATTTTAATTACAACGCACATACAGATCCAACTACATTGGCCTACACACATACAGCACAGCAATAAAGTAATCAAATGAACTAGGATCACACTCATCCAGCACGTTATTAATCTCACGTGCCCCACTCAATATGGCCGCCGCTTGAGTGGGGCAACTCAGAATAATAACGTGCTGGATTAGTGTGATCCTACTTCATTTTATTACTTTATTGCTGTGCTGTATGTGTATAGGCCAATGCCTTGGCTGGCGCTCGTGCGGAACAAGTTTCTTGGGCAAACTCACCGGCCCAAGTGGCTCTGTCAGCTAACGAAGGGAAGGGGGGAGGAGTCCGGTGACGTCACGGACATCGTCGTCACCGGACTGCTCCCCCCCCTTCCCTTCGCTAGCCCACGGAGCCACTTGGGGAAGGGGGGAGGAGTCTGGTGACGTCGATGTCCCCAAGTGGCTCCGTGGGCTAACGAAGGGAAGGGGAGGAGTCTGGTGACGTCGCTATCCCCAAGTGGCTCCGTGGGCTAACGAAGGGAAGGGGGGAGGAGTCCGGTGACGTCGTTGTCCGTGACGTCACCGGATCTTCGACGGGACTCCCGGAAGGCGGCGGAGAGGAGTATTTTCATTAGCGATCAAAAGAATTTTAATCGATCAAAAAGTTTAATGATCGAGAAAAGAATCGTTCATTTCTGCAGCCCTAGTATTTTTGCATGCAACTAGAACCTGAACCTGTCTTGATGTAAGCCTTCGGCAACCCCTGCACAGGCGCACTCAGACTGGGAGGTGCAGGGGCAGCAACTAGATGTTTCTGCATGCTGATGGGAGGAGAGTGAGCAGAGCTGATGACCCGTTACTGCTCATTGTTTGTCCAATCAGCAGTCTTTACTATATTCCTTTACCCCAATATTCACCCTCCTTGCCTAATTGCATTCTGTAGGTCATGTGACTCTTGTCCAGGTCATTACTGATGTCATAATAAGACCATTGTATGTCCTTCTGGTCCTTCTACTAACGGTCTTCTCTTCTGTCTGCAGTGAAGGGTCCGCCTGTTGAGCCATCGACTTTCCTTTCCCTTCCCCCAAAAGTACAGGATAAGATGACATTGGATGAGGTAAGTACTGGCTGCGGATTCATTGGCTGCTTGTGTTGTCCGTGTTTGTGCAAGGCAAAGAAGGAGATTGGCTCAGCTCTGCAGCTACTACCACACATGCATTGTACCTGTAGGTGATCTTATTCTTGCAGTAAACCTTTCCAAAGAGAAATTTCCGGAAAACCTCCACTGACCCGCTCTTCAAAACGCTGGTTGCTTGGTTTAGAATGCTGACTATCAGCCAGCATTTCCCAACCAGAGACTGTTTGGGTTTCCTTGAACAATAATCTGTGATGGATTGACTTCCTGTCTGCATAGAGGCCCAAATTTACCAAGCATAGCCAGTGGCCCAAGACCAGTGGACCCTCTGCTATTTTCTCTTAACTGAAACAAATTATAGTTTTAGCTGATTAAATTTTTCCCAGTGACCACCGATGTATTAGCCACTGATGTAAGGGGAATGTTCTTCCTCCTAGTAGCCACCTATGTAAGGGGAATGTTCTTCCTCCTAGTAGCCACCTATGTAAGGGGACGTTCTTCCTCCTAGTAGCCACCTATGTAAGGGGACGTTCTTCCTCCTAGTAGCCACCTATGTAAGGGGACGTTCTTCCTCCCAGTAGCCACCAATGCAAGGGGACACTCTTCCTCCTAGTAACCACCAATGCGAGGAGACATTCTTCCAAAGCCTAGCCTATTGGCTAATGTGCATATTTCTTGCCCTCCCAATCTCTAATGGGAGGGTTTATACCCCTAAATAAACTAGACATGTTTCTAAGACCGGAGTTCTTGTTTGTTAGATCCTGACCTTTCCTTCTCTCTTCTCAGATCTTCCTCATTAATTTGAAGCATCGGAAGGATCGGCACGATCGCATGAAGAGGGCGCTGTACGAGCTACAGATTGACTACAAGCTTTCAGATGCCGTGGATGGCAAGTGAGTTCTCAGACTTGAGATGAATGTTGTAGAGAATATTGAGTGACTTCAGCTGAAGGAAAATGAAGTGAGGAGGGTTCAGGGATCAGCTATTGGCTGTGGCGCATCTGGTGGGGATTGGCCAGTGATGGTCCCTGCTTGGTATAGAAGTCATTTCAGCTTTCTTTTGGTCTGGTCCTGACGCCCAGTCAGCCTGCTATATGGGGGGGGGAGGGGGGGTGAGCACAGACCTCCTTCCCAGACCAATACTTGCTCCATCTAATGGTTATGGGACCTTCATTTCTGAAAAAAATATCTTTACCCTTTGCTGAGGACCAGGGATGTCCCAATCCTGATACGGGGGATTTTCATGAGTACTTGCACTCGTGAAAATGCCCCCGATACTAAAGGCCGATACTGGCCCTCTAAATGTTTAAACAAGAGCGGCTGCCTGAGGTCCCGCTCTTGCTAGGGACCTCATGGCAGCTGTCTTTGACCGTGCCGGTCTGGCCCCACATCTCCTCCTCCTCCTCCTTCCTAGCGCCTGTAGAGACTGGCACAGCATTGGACAGCCCCGCACCCGCCCTGGAGCCTGGCACCTACCTATACAGCCCCGGCGAGACCCAAACACAGCCCTCTATAGCCGGTTGCCATTCTCCATTGCTGTATAATCAATATTCCTCTACTGTACCTGAGGAACAGTACTTGTAATTGGTCTTGAAAAAATGGTATCGGGACATCGCTACTGAGGACGTATCCTACATGTCATGACAGTCAAAGCGTTTTGGTTATAAAATGAATGTGCCGGCTCTGCTTTATAGTCTGTAAAGGATTCGGGTTGCTGTAAAAGACACCGGACCACTTCAACACATCCAAAATGGTGGTCATGGGACCCTCTTTTCCAAATAAAATATCCTTTTGCCGAGGACGTATCCTACACGTCACGGCAGTCAAAGGATTAAAACATGAAATGAATGTGCCGGCTCGGCTGTACAGTCTATAAAGGATTTACATTGCCATTACGCCACCTTTATTCTACACATCAAAAAATGTGGTCACACCTCCTTGGCTCTGAGCTCTTTTGGGTTCTCAGCTGTCAGTTCCTGGAGAGTTCTCCGATCACCTCGACCTTGGTGCATAGATTTTAAAGGCCCCTCGTCTACATCACGCCTTTGTGCAGCACATATACAGTAGAGATGGGAGAGTTTGGTAGGCCGTTGCAGGTATGTGCACCTCTAGGGGCCTGTACGTCATACCTCCTGCAGCAGTTTCCTCTTTTCCACTAGAGACGGTGATTTTCCAGAAACTTGCGGTTCGTAAAATAAGTCGCCAGTGGTCGCTGCTATAAATCTTATCACGAGAGGTTCACTTTATAGAAGGAAGTGTAGACTAAATAAATGCAGCATGTTCATTTAAGATGTCTGATCATTGGGTCATGATGGGATCAGAGCCCCTGCGTCCTAGTCTTTGGTCCATCCCAGTGGGTTTGCTGGGTATGGTGATGTCCCCCCCAGTCTCTGGATTGCCGATTTTAGATAAGGCTGTTGGAAGATCTGTTTCTAGACACAGGAGGCTCAGTTGGGTTGGTTGTCTTTTCACCCTTCCTCCAATTGGCTGATTTGCTTAAATGCATACGCCGCCTCTCGTACCATAGTTAGGGCCTATGGTCTCATTCCCCCCACCCCCACCCTTAGACCATCCTCCATGTACCTGAATTGTGAGGGTCTTCTCCCTGCAGAGATGTGGTCTTGTTTCAATCTAGCATGGCTTTGCTTGCATGGTTGTAGACTTCTCATTTACAGACCCTGTGCATGGATGACCCAAGTCCAATCTGCTTCCGCAGCACAGGGACTCGCAGATTGCACCGGACTAGTGCGGTGATGTCTCCGCACTTGTAGTACAAAATTTCCTCCCGTAGTTCCATAACCGAAGGTCTGTACTTCTGTACAGACATGAGGGTGTGGGTACAATGCAGGAGGCGGAGCACCACCTGCGATGCCCAATTGTGGTCGCAGTGCTCTGCAAGCTCCAATGCAAAAAATCTAATAAATGCACTTTTTTTTATATTATTGTATTAACCCCTTGCCCAGTGGTGTATTTATGTATTTGGCTGCCCTAGGCAAGCCAAGCTTCGGCCGCCCTCGGCACCTTACTAGCACCCCTCTGCTCTCGCTCTCTCTCTCGCTGTAATTTCCCTTGCTGAGAGCTAGAGAAGAAGCTGGTGAGGCAGATCTGTGCTTCTTTGGGTGACATTAGGGGTCATGGGGGACTCCTGGTGTCTCCATAAAGAGGACCTGCACAAACGACGATTTACGCCACACATGTTACAAAACGCCGTGAACGTCGCAATGAGAGCAATAATTTTAGGCCCGTCAATCACTGATAACACTAAACTGATGAGCGGTAAAGGCTTTCAAAGCGTCGCCTATGGCCAATTTTAGGCATGGTAGTTTTTTGCAATTTTGTGGGCGCGCGCAATTTTTAAGGCTTAACGTATTTGGTGTCTTTTTTTACCCGACGTGACCCCGTCTTTTATATTTTACCAAAAAACTGGGTAATTAATAAATGTTTTATAACATAAAGTAGGGAAAACAGGTTTTTTTTTTCTTCAAAATTTTCGGTCCTTTTTTCATTATATAGTAAAAAATACCCCCCCTTCCCCAGTGGTGATTTAAATACCACCAAAAGAAAGCTCTGTGTCCCAAAAATTCAGTACAGCGTTGCATGACGGAATAAATGTCAAAGAATCATTTACAATATTGCTATTGTGATGGAGTGTGTTTAGAAATAGGAATAAATGTCAGTCACGAATACCGCCGCGCTGAATATGACCTTGGCAGGAAGGGGGTTTAACACAGCGGTCATCAAGTGGTTAATGAAGGTAAATTTTTGCAAAAAGGGCGACTATGCCTTTTTATAAGCAGTTTGCCGGGACCAGAAGTGACCTTCCCAAGGCTGCTGGAATGTGGCAAAGGTGGCGGCACACTAGACTACCTTGGCTGAAAGCTCCCTGAACGATACAGGGCAGCCATGGTGAGCAAATTGTGCGGGGGTTCAGGGTAGACAGGTCCTCGAAATCGAGCAAATAGAACATTTTATCTATGAATGGTATCAGTTGTGTTAGATTCTGCACGGTAGCTTTAGGAAGCCGAGTCTCTGGTTCATATATGTGACGTGTGTACAGACCATTGTACTCTGCGTCCTCACAGCTGGAGCGGCTCTTCTCTGGGATTCAGGAAAGGGACAGAAAAGCTTAACTGTACCTGCCCGTTCTTGGAGCCGCGTCTTGACCTTTTATTTTTGGAATAATATTTTGGATATTTCAGGCTGATCCTCGATTTATGTCTCCTATTGAGCTCAGTAAAACGTTTGGCTTCCTTTTTGTGTCGAAGATCATGTCTGGAATGACTGATGACCTCGCCTGTCTTCATTATAGTGGAAGCACGGGCGAAACATTTTTTTTTTTTCATTCTAGTCCATTGAAGGGCACAGGAAGTCTTTCACCTTCGGGTTATATTGCCACCTATAGGAGGACTGGACACTGGTAAACCTTCTGTAGGCCAGCCCAGGATAACCCGGCCTACTACCAGCATGCCTCAATTTATTGCTAGTGTCCTACTTTGATGGAAGTCTTCTTCGGCAAAGCTTTTTTTTGTACTTCGCTGGTAGAGCTGGCCTCCCTGATATGCAGCTTTCCAGATCGGCTGTCCTCAGCCTGGCTTTTGGAGTGTTGCCTCCGGACCCCGCTGGACTAGACATTGGACATTTTCTGGCTGAAACCTTCGGGCACTGGGTGCTTTCTAGACACTACTGTGATAAAAAAGGAAGTGAGGTGAAATTTCTCCAATGGAGACGCACAACAATAAGGACCTGGCAGACATTTTCCCGGGCTCTCCTGTGGTAGTGCTGAGTCTTCCGCTTTCTTCTTTCTGCGAGAAGAGCATTGATCCCCCAGGCACTGAATGTCTTCTACGTCTCCTCGTAGTGCAGAATGAGTCAGCCCACCTACACAACTATTATCAGAAGTTTGCTGCAACATGGAGAGTATGGAATGGAGTTTCTAGGCTTCAATCCTTTCTTTGACCCATTAAAGCCAGAGAGCTCATTCGGATGTTATGGGAATCGCCCAGCTGGACCCCCATCCTCTCCTCTTCTCTCCAACCTTACACTCCCCCTTCCTGCTTTTCTGGTCCCTACCTTCTCCTAAAGAAAACCTTCAGCCTTTGGGTGCTGTCCAGATTCCATTGTGATAAAAAAAAATAAAAAATTCCACCACTGAGTTTTGTGTAGGGCAGGAAGTGGTTAAATCTCACCAGTGGAGACGCACAATAAAGACCTTGCGGACATTTTCCCAGGCTCTCCTGTGGTAGTGCAGGGTCTTTCGCTTTCTCCTTCCTGCGGGAAGAGCATTGATCCCCCGGGCACTGAATGTCTACGGCTCCTCGTAGTGCAGGAGTCAGCCCACCTACACAACCGTTATCAGAAGTTTGCTGCAACATGGAGAGTATGGAATGGATTTTCTAATTCTTCTCGGCTTCAATCCTTCCTTTGACCCATTAGAGCCAGAGAGCTCATTCGGATGTTATGGGACTCGCCCAGCTGGACCCCCCCCCTCCTCTTCTCTCCAACCTTACACCCCCACTTCCTGTTTTTCTGGTCCCTACCTTCTCCCTAAGAAGACCTTGTGCCTTTGGGTGCTGTCCAGATTCCATTATGATGAAAAAAATTCCCACCACTGAGTTTTGTGTAGGGCAGGAAGTGGTTAAATCTCACCAGTGGTGACGCACAACAACAAAGACCTGGCAGAGATTTTTCCAGGCTCTCCTGTGCTAGCGCAGAAAGGTCTTTAACACTTCTCTCTACAGGAAAAGCATTGATTCCCCAGACACTGGAGGTCTTCTACAGCCCCACATAGCGCAGATCGAGTCATTGAATGAAACAACAATGGAGGAACTTGCCGCCCACCTACACAACGGTTATCAGAATGTTGTTGCAACATGGAGAGTATGGAATACATTTTCTACTTCTTGGCTTCAATCCTTCCTTTGTCTTGACTCAGAGCCAGAAATCTCACTCTGATACTTTGGGATTCACCTGGCTGGACACCCTCCTCTCCTTTCCTCCTCATTTCCCTCTTCTCTCCAACCTTACACCCCCTCTCCTTTTTTTTTCTGGCCCCTACTTGCTCCCATAGAAGGCTTTCGCCCCTTTTGGGTGCTTTCCAGACTCCCTATATGGTAGTTTCCCATCACCGAGGTTTCTGTAGGGCAGGAAGTGAGCCAAGAAATGTCTTTTCTTCTTTCTCCCGGAAGAGCATTGATCTCCAGGCACTTGAGGTCTTGTATGACCCCACATATCCAAGAATAAATGATTTGAGATGCACAACAATGGAGGATCTTTTCTCAATTCCAATCCTTTCTCCGACGTGACCCATTAGAACCAGAAGGCTTCGTCTGGCATAAGGCTCGCCTGGCTGCACCCCCTCTCCTTTTTCTTTCCTTCTCGCTCCCCCGTACTGTCCTCTCTGGTCCCTTCCTAAGCGTGGTAGTGGTAGCAGTGCCTTCCTCTTCACCTACAGGATTGTGAATGCCTATTCCCTAACTCTTACCAGCCATCCTCCCAGTGCACCTTACCTTCTCTTGTTATTTGTAATGTCTTCACCTCAGATATTTCGATATACTCTTCGATGGGAGGAGCCCACCTCTCGCCTATGCGCTCTTCCGTGTAAAATCTATTCTTTAAAAACCTGGCAGAGGTTCTCACTCTACTCTGGCCAAAACTTTTGGATATGTCCGCACAGTCAAGTTACCATCTCGTTGGGTTTGGCATGATCAGCCCTTGTTGGGGGTTTACATATCCTTTTAAAGTTTCTTTTTAAAATTGCAACCTTTATTGGTTTCCTCTTCAGTAGAATTTTGCATTGGGCCAAAGCATGTTCCATATATCATGTCTGACACGATAGCAGTGCTCTGACTTTAGGTTTTTTCCAGACCCGTAGTACTGTCCTTGGTGCGTGTGCTGCCACGTAAGTACACGTGTGTGTGGGTTCCATTGAGATGTATAGATTTTATATTTGCTTGCATGAAGCCTGTGCTACCTGCGGACAAAGAACAGAGCTGTGAATTGAGCCAGGTGCTGGCAGTGCAGACTGTAGTCCCATTCAACCAGCAGGCCACGCAATGAAGGAGAAGTTCAGCTGAGGGCCCGCTTACCCTTCTAGGCCTGAAGCCAAGTGGAAATAGTAATTGAAGTAGGACGGGGTCAGGGGATTTTTCCGCAGTGAGGTCTCGGAGGTGGAAGCAGCAAGGAGCCTTCCTTTCTTGGCCTGAAACGTTATCTTTGAATGAGGTAATAACCAGAATTCCTTCCGGAGAACAAACTTCTATTCATTTGGTGGTTCTTGTACAGCTTTGACAGGACACACACTTCACGTATGTGTGTGTTACACCATTCAGATGACGTGGCATGATTGTGCAATGACTCTGAAAATAGTTCTCGGGAAGTCTCTATTAAGGTTTTTTTACTTTTGTGAGATTTTGGCTTTCACAGGAAACTTGAAATATGTAGAGACCATTTTCTGTGCTGTAAGCATTCCATGTTTTTGCTGCGAGCTTCTCTGTCTTATTCACACGTCAACTCAATTTGGCCTGCAGTCAAAAACTTGTATGAGAAGCTTCAGGTGGCAGCAGGAATTTTAAACGGGTATAAATTGAATTAAAAATGAATCAAGACCCAATCATTATGGTCTCATTAACTTAAACTGACCCTAATACTTTAATCATCCCTAAAACCTATGATCGACCCTTACCTCCCTGCTGCCAGACTCGTCCACTGCCAGACTCGTCCACCTTACCCAACCACTCAGTGTCCACCACCCCTCTCTGCCCATCCCAACCCTGGCTTCCATCCCCTGCCAATCCCTCCTGTCAGGGATACCGGCACAGGGGACCCCCCACACCTGCGCAGGTACCAACACAGGCAGACCAAACACGTGACCACACAGGACAAGGCAGAATATATGATATACAGTTTTAATATGCCAACCAGAATAATACAAACAGAAACAAGTCTTAGCAACCAACTACATCTAAACAACACCACATGCAAGAAGAAACAGGCAAGCACACCCAGGGAGCAAAGCAAAACACCAGGGGAACTAAGGGACGACAGGTAACCCGTCCCCTGCACTCCTCCCAACACCTCCTCCTCTCCCGTCAACTCCTTCCATGCTCCCCTCCAGGTCTTCTCAAGAATCTCTCCCCATCCCCTGGAACGCTCTACCCCAATCCGTCCACCTATCTCCTACTCTGACCAACTTTAGGTGATCCCTGAAAATGAATCTCTTCAGGGAAGCCTATCCAGACTGTACCCAACAACTCAACTTTTACTTTCTCCCTCATCCCGCTCCAGCACAGTTCACTTGTGTATCGCTTGCCCTTCCTATAGACCGTTTTGACCATCCTAACCCTCTTGTATTGTAACTGTACTGTTTTCCTCTATAATATAAAGCAATGCACAAACTATTGATGCTATAAAATCCTCAATATTATCATCATTATTAATAATACTCTAATGAAGTGCCTGCAGACCCGACTCCTTGGATCCAATGACTGGCCCTGAATTCTACACGACATTGATGACGTGTCGTCTAGTGATGGGATTGGGTGACTATAGTTCTGAGTCTCCTCTCCTAGGAAGGACAGAGGCCGGAAGGTTCCTGCTTTCCCTCTTTTGTATTATTATTATTATTATTATTATTATACAGGATTTATATAGTGCCAACAATTTGCTCAGCGCTTTACAAAATAGTGTAGACAGTACAGTTACAATACAATTTACAGTACAACACAGTTTCAGAACAATAGGGTTGGGAGGGCCCTGCTTGTGAGAGCTTACACTCTAGTCTTCCTGTTCTTGTGGCTTCTCCTCAGCGTTCCCCCCCAGCACAAGTTGTTCTGGACTCCGTCCAGGAATCTCTGTCCTCACCACAGACTTTCTGCAGCCGCGCTCATGTTTGTTTCCTTCCATCTTCCCAGCGACGGGCTGCAGCTGGGTAATCTTGCTCCACTTAAGTCCAGCTGTCGAGCTCTTCCAAGTGTGGCGTCTTCCAGATCTCCATCTGCTCCTCATCCTCGGGGGGGGGGGGGGGGG